TTATCGTTATAATAACGTTAAATTGCCTGTCACAATTTTGTTCTGTTACTCTTAAAACGTTATACAAAATATTGAAAACGCTATGCTTGCTAAGGTAACGATACCATCATAACGTTATTATAACGTTATACATTCTGTTATTTATAACGTTTTAAGTCCCTGCTCAAAAGTAAGCCTATAGTCAAGGGTGACGCCTAAATATTTTGCTGACATGTGCCATGGGACAGGGGTCCCTAGCATTCGTATAGGTGGAGTATTTTTCTTGTTTTTATTACGACCCGAGTGGTAGTTCGGAGCAATTATATATATACTGCTTTAATTTCGGAACTTTGTTAGCGCGATTTAGGCTTCGATGTGTTTTCCTTGTGACGGGACGACAGAGCCGCCACAGCTCATAGTTTTACTATTCGAGGAGATGTTCTCAACATAATTATAATTATTTCAAAACCATTCAGGTGTTCTTAATTATTATAAAGTGCCCTCTCTCAATTAAATAACAAATGTCAATAGCAATTCAAAATAAACAAGACTTTTAGATAATAAACGTACGAGGGCTCTTCGACTTGAACTTGACTCAAATTGACAACATTTTCATTCCGCGCGAGCCAATTTTGCCGGCGGCTGTGCGCGTCATTATTATATTTATCTGTGGCCACTATCAGCGATATCTCCGCGGCGATATGAGAGCGACCGTCGGGTAAATGAAGCCGGGGGCCCTAACCCGTGCGTAATTTATTATCAGTCTACATATGCACGCCTCGTGTGCGTAACGTCCAAATTGAAAAATAAATTTATGCTCAGGATTCAGATGTACAAACATTCTATAAACCTAGTTAGAATTAAGTATTGAAAGAGTTATAATATCGAGCAGCTGAGAGCCGTGTTGTATTAGAGACTGAGCGCTGGCTTAACCTCTGAGCGAGCGGCGACTCCGATCTCCGCAGGCAGCAATTGTGATTAAATTTTGCTGAATTATCACGTAGCGGCGGTGAAAGAAACATAGGCAGAAATGCAGATTAAATTTCTGTAAAATAAAAAAATTTAAAGACTTGTGAAGACCGCCAAATGCAGCGAATGAGGATTTTTCAGCATCTTATTGATCCATAACCAGCAAAGAAATAAGACAAGGCCTGTGCCCGGCACTGGGACGTAGAAAAACTGTTACGTTTTTTGAAAGAGCTAATAACGATTAAAACTTACCGTTATAATAATTACACTATAATACCTCCGAGTCATTATTTTATCTAATCTGTAGCTGTAGCCGACGGACATTAAATGCCTTTTTTTCTCGGCTGGTGCGTGGTAGCGTTTATGGTTATGGTAGCGGCTGTCCCATTCCAAATACGATACGGCTTAAGGACCTTCAAGAAGCGAGCTTACTCCTTTTTATATTCTCCTGGTGTTGCAGTTGTCCATCGACACTTACCATCAGGTGGAATGGATCGGATAGACCGGAGCAGGACCACGCTTTAACAGTATACTCGCAACTATCGCATTCAATAAATACTAAGAATACTATTAAATCGGCTTATTTTATATTTAAGAAGTTTCGAATACTTTGTGGCACCCAAGGTCACAGGTGGCCTGTAGTGTTCAACTTCCCAATGTGGCGGTTTAACACATGCCACTTTACGCATTTTTAGGTATGAGTACATCTAGTATTATTATAATAATACCCTCCAGGCTAAATTTCGGTCACAACATGCACTCTCTATTCCCTCACTCAAACAGTTCGATCGGCACGGTTCGGACGGCAATTCTACACGATCGAAGAGAGATCAGGCACAGGACCAACGGCTTTACGTGCTTTCCTAGGCAAGGTATATGACAAATATGATACTGTAAATACAAAATATGAAGTATAAAATATAAGGTCTCTGCCTCCAAGTAATGATGTCGAAGTGTCTTAAAGGAGTTTTTGTTGAAAAGCTTGTTAGGTAAAACAAGCACTGAAAAATTCCAGTACTGTGCTCTGGAATAGTTATCTTGAGACCCTTTGAATGTCATGTTACTCGATCAAGTATCGAATAAAGGAAACGAAAACTATACTTACGATAAGAACAAATAAAACAGATGTACGTGAATATAAATTTTATGTTAAGTAATTCTTACGTTTGAATTCTAACATTTTATTTATATATTTATTTATTTATGTACACAGATCAAGATACAGAAACAGTTTTATAGTGAGTTCGTACAAAGGTTCTACATATTCCATAATTTGCTGAAGTATCTTTCAGTAGACCCATAAAGGCAAATATATAAAAGGGCAAACTTAGTGCGTACAATAACTTCTAATACTACTCTAAATAATATACAAAATGTTACGCAAATTATATTAAATAATACTGTTACGCGCCACTATTAATGTCTTGTACATGGCAACACTAGTTACACTAGCGCCCCCTAGTGTCGAGTAAATGAAAGTATTGCGCGCCACTATTAATGTCTTGTACATGGCAACACTAGTCACACTAGCGCCCTCTAGTGTCGAGTAGCAGAACTAGGAGAGTGGAGATCCTTCCAGAAATTTCGGGACCGAAATGTACTCGAACATTCTAGATGTCGCTACAGTAGAAGATTCTGGAAACTATCTGAGGCCCTATATAAGGCCGGTATAGACCACGACCGAGGCAGTATTGAATTGGCGATACAAGAGATTACTTCGAAGCGAAATAACGGCGAACTGTGTTTTATTATTAGTGTAATTTTAGATTGTAATTAGTGTTGTGTAATTAAAGTGTTAATTTTGGTAATTCAATCGGCAGTTTTTAATTGTCTCGAACCCCAAGTTCGTAACAATTGGTGTCAGAAGTGGGATCAAATATGCCGATTTTACCTAAAGACGACACGGAGGGTATCCGTACCCGAAGTCAACGCCAACAGGAGACGGACCAGAGACGATTTGGTAATGCAACGCCGCAAACGTCGGAGGGCCAGTTGCTAACCACGGAGGCTGGCCCGTCAGCAGCTCCTGCATCTGCAGCACCTGACTTAGGTGCTCTGATGATGATGCTGCAGGATCAGGCTCGTCGACAGGAGGAACAGGCCCGCCGACAGGAGGAACAGGCCCGCCGACAGGAGGAACAGACCCGTCGGCTGGAAGAGCAGCTGCAGCGCGGTATGGAAGAACAGATGCTCCTCAGGAAGGACCTTCACGCTACCTTCGGGAAAGAGATAAAGGAGGTGAAGGATAGGGTTGCTCAACATGACAACCGCCTGTCGGAAGCTGAAACCCGAATCGACCAAGTGAACAATCGGGTTGACAACGTGATGGCTGATGTGAAGAAAACGCTGGACGACCTCAAACTTGGGGATGGAGTTACAGCTCCCGTGGTAGCACAACACCTTCGCTACGTGGATTCAAAGTGCCACCGTTCGACGGGACTTCTTCCTGGTCGGCCTATAAAATCCAGTTCGAGGCTGTCATGAAAGCGAACGGCTGGAATAAAAGTCAGGCCATGACTGCTCTCACCCTAGGCCTGCGCGACCAGGCATTAACTGTTCTGGAAGCTCTCGGTAAGGAAGTGACTTACGAGCAGCTCCTTGAGGCATTGGAGGCGAGATATGGCGACGCTCACCTGGAACACGTCTTTCGTGCGCAGCTCAAAGATCGCGTGCAACGCAGTAACGAAAACCTGCAGCAGTGGGCCCTTGAGGTGGAGAAGCTGGTTCGAAAAGCGTACCAGTCTGTACCTGCGCTTATTGTAGGGAACCTGGTGCAGACATTCATCGACGGCATCCGCGACCTTGAAGTCAGAGCTGCTGTGAGGCTCGGGCACCACGAGACGCTTAAGGACGCCTTGACCCATGCACTGGAGGTGGAAGCCGTGCGGCAGGATCATCGTTCCCACCGCGTCAGGGAGGTTGCAGCAGCTAAAGTTCAGGACCGCAATAAAAGCTACAGCCCTAGGTGCTACGGCTGTGGAGAAAGGGGCCACCTTCGATCCAGCTGCCCTAAGCGAACTGTAAAAAGGGAAGGTGATCGATCTCGAGAGGGTAGTGCGGATAATAGCACCGCCCAGCAGCAGCAGGGAAACTGGCGGGTGCTGGCTGATGTTAAAAGAGCCCCAAGGATTTCGATCTCACAAACTCATGATGGGAACAGCCTAATCATCAAGGGCGAAGTCAACGGAACGCCATGTAAACTGACCATAGACACTGGAGCCTCTCGCACGGTTGTCAGTTCCCAACTTATAAGTCGGTTCCTTGGGGACTCCGCATACAACCGAGAACGCATTAATTTGGTGACAGCCACTGGTCAGCGCATACCCGTCCGTGGAGAGAAGGAGATGGAGTTGAAGCTAGGCAACATGATCTACCTGCATAATGTCATCGTGGCTGATATAATGGACGACTGCATCCTGGGCCTAGACTTTATGAGGAAGAATTGTTGTGAGATCGACGTTAAGCAAGGTGTTTTGAAATGTGGACAAGAAGAACTTTTCATGGAAGGGGCGTTACCAGGGAATGTGTACAGCCTTAAGAAGATTGTTCTTCCGCCGAGATCGGAAACGATTGTGCCGGTTAGTCTTCCTCGGAGTCCTGGGCAAGCTCATCGTTGTGTACTCGTGGAAAGGGTAGACAATGACCTTCCATGGAAAGTGGCTCGAACCTTGGTCAGAACCACCGACATCTCAGGAGTACGTGTGTTGAACCTTTGTGATCAGGAACAGATTATTGAAAAAGGCACATTGGTTGGTACAAGTGAGGAAGTGGATTGGTTGCGTCGGTGCGAATATCTATCGACCGGGACCCCTAGCAAGGATGGACAAACGAGAGTGACCACACTTTTAGAAGACTGTCGCAGCGTTCTCTCCCCGAATGAAATGGTCAAGGCGAAGAAGTTGTTACTCAAGTACGCCAATGTTTTCTCGTCAAACGAAGCTGACATAGGAAAGACTGGCTTAGTTCAACACAAAATAAACACAGGACAAGAATTGCCTATTCGTCAGCGGCCAAGAAGATTGCCTGTAGCACGTGAAAAGGAAGTGGAAACCATGATTGAGGGAATGGTGAAGGATGGTGTTATTGAACCTTCATCTAGTCCATGGTGTTCACCTGTGGTGCTGGTAAAGAAGAAGGACGGCAGCATGCGGTTTTGTGTTGACTACCGCCGCCTGAACGACGTTACAAAGAAGGACAGCTATCCCTTGCCTAGAATTGATGACACGCTGGATATGCTCACAGGCGTAAAGTGGTTTAGTACGCTGGACCTGAAAAGTGGCTACTGGCAGGTTGAAATTGACCCTAAGGACAAGGAGAAAACTGCATTTTCCACAGGAAAGGGTCTGTGGCAATTTAAAGTCATGCCGTTTGGATTGTGCAATGCTCCAGCAACGTTTGAAAGGTTGATGGAGCTTGTACTTACCGGGCTAATTGGAGATGCCTGTCTCGTCTATTTGGATGACATCATCATCGTAGGCCGTACGTTCGAGGAGCACCTTCAAAACCTGGAACGCGTGCTCATGAAGATCCAGAGTGCCAACCTCAAGTTAAGTCCAAAGAAGTGCTCACTATTCAAACGGCAAGTTAGTTTTTTGGGGTATGTAGTGTCGGAAGAAGGTATCCGCACGGATCCAGAGAAAATTGCTGCTGTCAAGGAGTGGCCGGTCCCAAAAGACAAGACACAGGTTAGAGCATTTTTGGGTTTGTGCTCTTATTATCGGCGATTTGTGAAGAACTTTGCAGATATAGCCAAACCTCTGCACAAGCTAACCGAGGAGAAGCGACAATTCTGCTGGGATGAAAGTTGCGATATTGCATTCCAGGAGCTCAAGAACCGCCTGTGCAAAACACCTATTTTGGGGTACCCTGATGCGGGCAAGGAATTCATAGTTGACACAGACGCAAGTGATATAGGACTTGGCGGTGTGTTGTCTCAACGGAATGGTGATCAAGAGATTGTGATAGCGTACTTCAGCAAGTCGTTGTCAAAGCCGGAAAGGAACTATTGTGTCACAAGACGGGAATTGCTTGCTGTGGTAAAGTCCTTGCAGCATTTTAGCAAATATCTTCTAGGGCGAAAATTCCACTTACGAACTGACCATGCTGCACTGAAATGGCTATTGCAGTTCAAAAATCCGGAAGGACAAGTTGCGAGATGGATAGAACTACTGCAGGAATACGACTTTGTGATCGAACATCGCAGCGGGAAATCTCATGGCAATGCAGATGCATTGTCAAGAAGACCTTGCCCTGAAGATTGCAAGCATTGTACTAGGCAAGAGGGTAAGGAAGTGGTATCTGTGAGAATGCTCAGGACAGACCAGCTCAGCAATGAGTGGAAGGACAGCCTACAACATGCACAGCAGGAAGATTCGGACATTAAGCCGATTCTGGAATGGATGAAGGCCAGTGCTCCTAAGCCCAAGTGGAGCGACGTCTCAGCAATGAGTTCGACCACGAAAAGCTATTGGGCCCAATGGGACAGCTTGCTGATTCAGGATGGAGTCCTGTGCCGTAAATGGGAAAATGGTCGGGGAGACAGGTGTCATTTGCAAATGGTTGTCCCTAAGGCTAAAGTGCCGGATATTCTACAGCTGTATCATAGTGGTTGTTCAGGAGGCCACCTGGGAGTTAAACGAACTCTCCTGAAGATCCGAGAACGGTTTTACTAGGTCCACTGTCGTGACGATGTCGAGGACTGGTGCCGCAAATGTACAAGTTGTGCGGCTGTAAAGGGACCTCAAATTCGTAGTAGAGGCGCATTGAAATTGTACAATGTTGGTGCACCATGGGAGAGGATAGCCATTGACGTTGCGGGGCCGTTTCCAGAAACTGAAAGTGGTAACAAGTATTTCATGGTAGTGATGGATTACTTCACTAAGTGGCCAGAAGTCTTCGCCATTCCAAATCAAGAAGCTTCAACAGTTGCAGATAAACTAGTTCATGAAGTCTTCTGTCGTTTTGGAGTACCTTTAGAGATTCACAGCGATCAAGGAAGGAATTTTGAGTCACAAATATTCCAGGAAACTTGCCGAGTTATGGGTACTCAGAAAACACGAACAACTTCTTACCACCCACAATCTGATGGAATGGTAGAAAGATTTAATCAGACATTGGAGAGGTACCTAGCAAAAGTTGTGGAAAAACGGCAACGAGACTGGGACAGGCACATACAACCGTTTTTGTTGTCATATCGAAGCGCTGTACACGAAAGTACATCAGTGACACCAGCTTTCGCAAACTTTGGGAGAGAATTGCGGCTGCCTGCAGACCTGATCACCGGAATACCACCTGATGCCCCACGCAGTATAACCGATTATGCAAATGACTTGCGGAACAAAATGAATGACATTTATGAGCACGTCAGACAGACGGGCCAGCAAACGTCTGAGAAGATGAAAACACGGTATGACCGCAAAATGAACAACAAGGGGTTTGATGAAGGTTCACTAGTGTGGTTACACAATCAAGTTCGCAGCAAAGGGAAATCTCCTAAGCTTCAAGCTAAATGGGACGGACCGTACCGGATTGTGACAAGGATCAATGATGTAACCTACCGGATACAGAAAGGTGCCAGAGGTACTCCTAAGATTGTCCATGTGGATCGACTGGCGCGTTATTATGGGGCCAATAATGCTCGGGACGAGCATGTCTTAGGAGGGGGCAGTGTTACGCGCCACTATTAATGTCTTGTACATGGCAACACTAGTTACACTAGCGCCCCCTAGTGTCGAGTAAATGAAAGTATTGCGCGCCACTATTAATGTCTTGTACATGGCAACACTAGTCACACTAGCGCCCTCTAGTGTCGAGTAGCAGAACTAGGAGAGTGGAGATCCTTCCAGAAATTTCGGGACCGAAATGTACTCGAACATTCTAGATGTCGCTACAGTAGAAGATTCTGGAAACTATCTGAGGCTCTATATAAGGCCGGTATAGACCACGACCGAGGCAGTATTGAATTGGCGATACAAGAGATTACTTCGAAGCGAAATAACGGCGAACTGTGTTTTATTATTAGTGTAATTTTAGATTGTAATTAGTGTTGTGTAATTAAAGTGTTAATTTTGGTAATTCAATCGGCAGTTTTTAATTGTCTCGAACCCCAAGTTCGTAACAATACTTTAAATAAAAATATATAAAATACAATAAAAAATACAAACAATAACTAATGTTTTTTTGTTACATTAGGATTGGAGGTAAAGACGGACAAGCGCAGAAATGCTTTGTGCTAAATGTATGCAAATGAGAGCAGATCTACGATCGCATTGCTTGCCGACGATTCATTGCATAATTACTTCCGGCGGCTAGACGCCGTGTAGCTACTATATGCAACGGACATATTATCAGGGTTTGTGAATCACATCTTGAAAGCACTCCGCGGTTTTTTATCTTATAAATATGAAGTAGTGCCATCTAGTGTTTTTGAAAAATTGAAAAAATTGAAAAGTTTCATTACAGCAAGGTGAAGGCAATGTCGATTTTTTTTTTCTGTTTTAAGTAACTCTGTTACGTGTTATATCTTGTCAACGTTTTTTTAACATAACCAACCATTTTAAACCCGACCACAGAATAAAGTCCTAACATAATTTAAATTTGCTTTATTAGTCTAACTCTAACTATCTAACGCTAAAATGACCCGGACGCTAAAAAGCTAACAAGCGTGTATTTGTCAAGCAGGCTGAAAGCTCCGTCTCGCTTACTAGACTTGAGCTTTGATTTCCTAAGATTACGGCGCTGCCATACAGCGGCCACAACACAATGGCTGCAAAAAACGGCCGTCTTTACGGTGACGACACGTGGAGAGTTCCATAACCGCTACGGCCATATTTTTTTTTATAAAATGTCAGAAACGTAACGTATTCCTTACTTTTATTATAAATAGCGTCATGGTTACGCACAAAATTTATTATAATTTCGTTGTCCTGCAACTGGAGCATGGCGCTATTTGCGTGACCGGTCACCAGTTACCGGTCACGCAAATAGCGGCAAAACGTTTTGACGTTACAGCTTCAAATATCACTTTTTAAGGAACCGCGCTATTTGTTGATATAGACAACGTTATATTGACGTCATTCGCCGCTTTATTACGACCGCATGTAGCGGCACCGGAATCCTAAGAAACCAGAGCTTTGAGAATTTTCATCAATTCATCATCTTTCCTTCGGTGTAACAAAGATTGAACCATAGAAAATGCTAGACGATAAATAATAATTCAAGTCTACTAAATAAGCATAAATATATACCTGCAAATGTTGTAAAAAAGACTTCTCACTAAGTCAACTATTTAATACCCGGCTGGCGGCGGGAAATAGCTTCAAAAGAGCGTGAGCTATACTAGTGACAGAGGACGTAGTAAGAATTGTAGAGAGATCTTAGCGATCTCTCTACAATTCTTACTTCACTATTACCAAGAGAGGCAATAATATTTTAAATTACTTATGTTTCTGTAATTTTATTCTTTAATCATAGTGAATTTTTAATTTGTTAATTTTGCATTTATAAATGTACTTGTAAGTGAACAGAAAATAATTAAATTAACCGCTTTAATAATATTTAATGTATTGATTCAATTATCAACTTCTTCCAAATTAATATAATTTATCTGTAATCACTTTGTTTCTGTTAATTTTTCATACTATGTAGTGTTACACTTAAAAATGTGTAATAATGTTCACTTTGTTGGTGCAACGAATAAATAAATAAATGAATAATTAACAAATCCTTCCTCACACCTGTAAATACCTGTATTTATGGCATTTGACAGTTTATATGCTGGTGTAATGGATACGTACTTGTATTATGTGAGACATAAATGAGCCCTGGTAACTCAGAGGCTAAGCGTTCGTTATAAATTTCACAGTACGCGTGCTACCCGGGTACGATTCCATCGGACAACTATGTTATTACATGCAATTTAAGTGCTTCTGAGGAATAAATATATTATTTCAAAGACATGTGTAAAGTATACCTGGCTAAAGAGAGTCCTCGAACAGTACAACGTTGACTGTATAGTTAGAGACTTCCTTGGGCAGTGTATGGGGCAGTGGAGTAGAATCCTTTGCCATCTAGAAAAGCTGACGACGTATACGAAAAGCCACATAAGGATAAGAAGGGGTATCTTCCAGAGTGATTGTTTGAGTCCAATCTGGTTTTGCCTCTCAGTACCTTACTGGAGGACTCCAGGAGGGGATTTCAGCTTCGGAAAGGAGATACAAAAGTGACCCACCTTTTTTATATGGATGATCTCAAATTATTCGCCTCCAGTCGCTCCCATCTTATAGAATTACTAAACATCACTTGCGATTTTAGTAATTCTATTAGAATGGAGCTGGGGACGGATAAGTGTGCGGTCATCCATGTAGAAAGGGGAAGGGTTGCTAACTCTGAGGGCATAGACTTATCTATGCCCATCAACATAAGGACCCATTCCGAGACTGCAACATACCGATACCTGGATATGCCACAGAACATCGGTATCGATTGTCGTGAAGCGACAATTAAGAACAAAAAGAATCTAACCTAAGAGCAACAAAACAACAAAAATACAACAAAACAAATAATATATTTAAGATTCAAAAGATATTTACAATTTTATATAACAAAAATGGAGTATGAAGATGAGGAAGGATGATGTGATTTACAAATTATTTAAAAAAGGTAATAAAAAAAGAGATTAGTGTCGAAGCTGAGTCTGAAGATCCAAAGTGTGCTCTCAGCGCCTGGAACGAGCACGCACGGCGTAGGTGAGAAGGCGTGGGCGTCTCTAGGCGACGACCTCAGGTGAATGCGGTGATTGCAGGATCCGGCGATTTCAGGCCAGACAGGGGCTTGCAGGATCCTCAGCGACTTCAGACAGCACAGAGGCCTGCAGGATCCGGTGACTGCAGGCGGGACAGAGGTTTGCAGGTTCCGGTGACTTCAGGCGGAACAGAGGTTTGCAGGTTCTGGCGACTCCAGGTAGAGCAGAGACTTGTAGGATCCCGGCGACTTCAGGCAGAGCAACGGTTTGTAGGATCCGGCGACTTCAGGTAGAGCAGAGATTCGTAGAGTCCAGTGGCTTCAGGCAGGACAGAGGCTTGCAGGATCCCGGGGTAGTGCGGCCCCGGGATAAGGCCTTTAGGAGATGCTTCCAATTCGAGAACTGAAGCGAGACTCAATTTCTTCACCGATTGTTCGGCTTTTATACCTTTCTAGAGAGAACGGAAAAATTATTTAAATAAAACGCAAATTTTTTGTAAATGGTCAAGAGAAAAGAGTATTTATGTGGAATTATCGAAATAGAAACAACAGACCGGTAGCAAATTTGAATATAATTGCCATAGAGACCAAATAAACAACAATGTCAAAACATGTCAAATTTTGGTTTTAGGCTTGTAATAAAAAAACGGCAAGATTTAAGTGAAAAATGAGATATTATTGATATAGGAAAAAAGGTAGCGCAACTGCACGCACAAAGCCTGAAATTGCAGAGTTACGGAAAACTAACTAAAAGATCGAAAAAAGGTAGACTCCATTGACACCAATTTAAAAGTGCTGATAATGTGAAAATACGAAGTAGAAATGATTTGTTATTGTGTTCTTATGGTTTAAAATCGTTACAGGATCCTATGGAAATAAAGGTGATGTAAAATATCCAGTTTTGAGGTGAATGCAGAAAATCGAAACAGAA